TTACAACGAGTATTTCGAGTATTTTGGACCTGATTATACTCTTCATATAGAACCATCCAACATGGAGAATCTAAATTCCCCTAAAGACATGGAAAAGATAAGGTGACTTGTGACTTTGTGTTGGTTTGATGCTCCTTTCATATGAACATCGTAAACTTAGCTCCGTTCTGTTAGCAGAAATAGTGTGAGCAACAGATAACCCGTGTTTACGAGGATAGATCATTTCTTGCTCATTCATTTTATATATTAAGAACTTCTATGCTTTTGTGCTGTCTTACTGAAAATTTTAATATAGATAAGTTGCCTCCTGTATCACTTATTCTAGGAACACCCTGCTGGAGCAACTCTCTCGACTCCCACATGCCCCCAGTGTACCTTTCCAGATGACTCCTTCCTCAGAAGTTCCAGAAGAGGTGACAAACAACCTGAACCATACTTTACCCTGCACATTGCTTCATAATTTCAGTTTTTTTTGTAGTTTCTTTTTCTCTCTTGAGATTCATGTTGGTTTCTTTGGATGTCAGGTGGAAGAGAACATGGAACGTAGACCCAAACGCCGCATCTGGAATGGTGAGGATTATGATTCTGATGCTGAAGAAAACAGAAAGCGACCAAATAACAGTGAAGGGCCTGGTGTAAATAATCTGACGAGGTAAAGGCTTAAGCTCTAGTTACTTTCTTGCACTATTTTACTGTTGCTGGGGAGGAGGAGTGTAATTGCCCAAGCCCACGGCTAGCAAATATTGTCCTCTTAGGGCTTCCCCTCAAGGTTTTTAAAACGTGTCTGCTAGGAAGAGGTTTCCACACCTTTATAAATAATGTTTCATTCTCCTCCCCAACCGACGTGGGATCTCACAATCCACCCCCTTCATGGCTCAGCGTCTTCGTTGGCACCTGTTCCCTTCTCCAATCGATGTGGGACCCCCAATCCCCACCCCTTTCGGTGCCCTGGCACACTGCCTCGTGTTCGTCTTCTTTCAGGGCTCAACCTCCTTACTGACACATCACCCATTGTTTGGCTCTGATACCATTTTTAACAGTCAAAGTCTACCGTTAGCAGATATTGTCCTCACTGGACTTTTCCTTTTAGGCTTCCCGGAAGGTTTTTAAAGCGCATCTACTAGGGAGAGGTTTTTCCACACCCTTATAAAGAATGATTTGTTCTCCTCCCCGATCGATGTAGGATCTCACAATGAGTGTGTCTCAGCACTTGATATTAAATTCTAAAGATGGTGTACTACATATATCTTGTGGTGTACTGCATGTATCTTGTGCTATATTGTGGCTTTTCAATTTTTGCAAAGAACTTGGCTTTAATATCTGAATATCAGTACACGTGATGCAGGGATGAAGTAGATGGTATGGAGGAAGATAAGAACATGGACCATCAACCTCGTTGACAAATACTATGTGTAGATTTCTCGACGACCTAGAAGTCTCACCAGTTTCGTAAGAGACACTTAGGATCAAGTCATAGTTCTTAAAGCCTGGGTTTTGTCTTTTGATTAGGCATTGGAACATACCGATAATATTATTTTCTCGACATGAAATTTAGAATTTGTACACACAAGGAATACGTAAACAGGAATCAAGGGCATTTACATCGGAGACTTTTGTACAAATATTTTGGAGTTGCTATAAACTTGGTGTTATTCTCTGGTGTTTATGAAATATACTGTTCATAATTAAAAGTTCTCATCACCTTACACTTTAACTGCGTACATTTGCTGAATGATTATGCCTACTTTGCTGGATGTGTGTTTTTTCGACATTATTGCCTACTTTGCTGTAATGTTGTCCCCTTGCCAACGTCTGCATTGCTCAACACTAATCGCCCTTTTCAAACAGCAGCCTTACCTTGCACAACACTCCATCTCACCTCACCAACATCATTGAACCTAGCTGTGCTGGTGTCCACCTGATAGACACACCGACTGACCCAGCTCGACCTCAACCCAAAACTAGGAGTGGTTAGCTTAGTTTTTAAGTTGGGGGCAAAGAAAAACTTGAAACTTTGTCTTGGTCATTATGGATCATGATTCAGTGATGTAAAGAAACTAGAGCTACTAAGAATAAGGTAAAACATTGGCAAAAGGCTCTGCAAGATTCCTTGAAATTATAGGTGTTTTCTGCTAGCCTTGGAGATGCTACCACTGTTCTTCTATTCAATATCCGTCCCATCTGTATCTTAGCCTTTATTTGGAGGACATGTAATGAAAGGAGGGAAAAAGAAAGTAAGATAAAAAAGCGAAGCCTATAGAAAATGCCTGGCTTTCCATGCTGCTGATTCTGTCGCAATTGGCTTCACAATATAGCGCCCATTGTTTGAACTGCAAGAGCTTAGCCTGCCAGTTATAGTGCCATCAGAACCCGAATAGTCCATGCAAAATCTCCTCTCCTTTTCATGCCTCTTATAACCAGCTCTCTTCCTTAGACTCTGTTTCTTCAAAATAGAGCTCAACTTCGCTGCGCCACATTCAGCATTCACCGGTGTCGGCATCGCCTCGAGACCCATCAACTTGGCTACAACTCCTGGTTTGCGCCACACGACACTCTCTCCAGCGATTGTCGATGGCAACCGCAAGGCTGTCTCTAACGTCAAATTGAACTCGTTCTCATGAATTCTCCCTCTGAGAGCATACTCACAGCAAACTGATTTCCTCCCACCCTTTTCAGCAGCATCCCTAAATGAAGATCTATACATTGCATCCTTTCCATCGAGGGAAAACCGAGGGTACTGATTCAAGGCATTCTGTGCAGAGCGTAAGATATCCGAGTTGTTTACGCAGGACATCCTGCCTCGCATCTCATCGTAGTTGCAGAGTTTAGTCCTTCTTGCCGTCTCCTCCTCCAGCTCCAGCTGAAGAATCATCTCCTCCAAGGTTGGCTGGTTTTGTGTGCAGGGCATGTTGGGCGAGGCAGGGAAGGGATCCTGGTTGGTTTTGTGTTGGTTGAGCGTGGAGGTGGAGCCGTCGCCATTGCAGAAAGTTCTGAAGCCTTTTCTCATCTTTGCAGCCAGAGAGTTCTTGAAGAGAAAGAAGGATAGCTCCTTCATTTTGGATCAAAACTTGGAGGTATGATCTGACTCTTCATTTACTTTTTTTCCATTTTTTTTTCTTTGTTTGTTTTGAATATATCTTGAATTGTGAACACAAATTGGTATAGAACTGTGAGTTGAATGAATGAGAGCGGTGTGGCCTCATGTTCAAAGTGAGTATATAGTGTAATTAATGGCATTCACGTTCTGTTTTGATTAAAGATGTTGTCTTTCACAAGTAAGTTCATGTATCATTCAAATGCCTTTTTCTGTAATCTCTCGTCAACTTTCCACTCTCATTCACTTCTCTTAATCCTTAATAATGAATGAGTTAGTTTGAATTAAATGCATTGCTTACATTAGTTTATCAAAACTTTTATATATATAATGTATATATATCAAAACTTTTATTTAAATAAAAATTATATTGAAAAATGGAGTGGGTCACTGAAAAGTTGTTTAAAATGAATATATTTTTAAAAATATATATTCAAAAATAGAGAAAATTGATCATTTCAATTATCATAAAAATAAATGAAATTTTTTTGTAGAGATCGAGATTGAAACAAGAGGTAGACATCGATAGGCCTTATATAATCTAACTAAAATGTCAAAAATTTTATTTAAACTCCCACGACTTATATTGTTGAACTAAAAAAAACGCTACCGGTTTCAAAATTCTCACGAAAAAGATAGAACTTTATAAAAGGGCTTATTGCCTATCTGTCAAAGAACATATAGGAGTGATAGATGGATGATTAGGTTCCACCATGGAATAAGAATCAGAATCTTGTCTGGTGGGCCCTCATTGGGCCTACACTCATATGACTTTGGGCTTACTTGCCTAGCATTAGCCATTAGGGTCTCTTTTTAAAACTAGGTTAAGCCCGATGACTCTCCTTCAAAATATCAACTATTCGATGGGATCCACGTACGGACAACTGATTGCTACGGAGCCATAAAGCAATATGATTTAAGATTTACATTAAACCTAATCAACCTTAATTAAAATATAATATTACTTTCCTATTATTTTGTAATAATAATTCCCATGTTACACTAGCTCGATAGAAAATGTATGAAAAAACAAAAAAAAGAAACTTAGAATCGTACTATCCATCTGTCAATCTATAAAATATGAACTCGAGTATTGAATGAATAAGTCGAACCGTTTACGGGGTGGAGAGCATTAAAATAATTGGAAGGCATGAAAGAAAGGGAAGGGAGTAACCCATCCACATATATTTTTCAATATTGGAGTGAACATTAGAAAGAAAGAAAAAGAAAAGAGACCCCACAGCCTCTGCCACTCTCACTCATCACTTCTACAAACCCACCTCCCTCTACTACACTTTTCCAGGAGAGCCCGCCTGGACACCCACATCACCCTAAAACCCTAAACCTAATTCTAACATGATCTTCATTTCCTTAACACCGCCAAGATGGTGGGATCCAAGGCCATTAAATGACGATTTAACGAACTAATAAGGATCTGTACTTCTAATCTCATATATGTCTTAATTGGTCGAATTCTACTTGAACTACTGACAGAACGATAAATGAAGTAGTTCCTCGAGAATCTAATGAACAACAACGATTCTGTGGAACTGTTTACAATAATCACGCCAAGCCAAGGAGAAGATTCAAAAACCAGTTACAATTTCATGATGGATCATCATATAAACACAAACAAGGGGGGGCATATGATATTAGAACTAAAAACTCAGTCTTAACCTAAAATTCAGGTAAAGTTGGAGTATTTTCACTCTCACTCGTACTCAAAACGCTGTATAAACATTCATTTTTGGTCCAAGAGAGGGTATGCTGATGAATTGAGAGTAGATATGAAGAGAGGGGAGTGTCTAATATGAAGAGAGGGGAATGTATAGGAGTACTGAAAATACACATAAAATGGTAGAGCTATGAGTGTAATGGAGTGCATGAGAATAAAAGAAAGAGGAATAAAAAAAGGGAGACAATCCCACATCTCTGATAATATTATTGGATGCAGGGTCATAGTCATTCTTTAGTTAGTGTACCCACCATTTATTATTATCCTTGTCTTTTGCCTCCATTCTCTTCTCCCTGCTTCTTCCCATCCACTAAATATACTCTTTCCCATCTATCCTCCACTCAATGCAACCCTAAATTTCTCTATCTCTCTCTTTCTTTCTTCATCTTCTTGCTCCACCTAGGGTTTTGCTTCAGCTTCATCACACAGCTTTGCAGAGCTCTGTGACTCGTAACTTTGGTTTATCAAAGGGAAAGGAAGAAGGGTTTTATATCTCTACCTCTCTCTCTCTCTCTCTGGAAAGGTAAAAGGGACTTCCTTTTTTTGTTGTTTTTAATTGATTCTAAGGAAAAGGAAATGACCTAGATCACACAACAGAGGTAAGTTTATGTAGCTATATTTTTTATATTATATATATTATCCCCATAGGTAAGAAAAAGGCTAAACAGAGAAATTAATCTAGACCCTTTGACGAACATTGGCTAGTAGAGCTTATTTAGGGCTCTTTCTTTCTTGTCCATTGTGTTATTATATATATATATAGTGACGACTTTACTTTGTTCATCAGTCATGTCTCATCTTCTTCACCTGATTGCAGAAATGTGAAGCCTTTCTTTGTAGCTGCACGCAACCTTCTGCTTTCTTCTCAGTTTACACTTTGAAAACAAAAAAGATCAGAAAGAGAGAGAAAAGGACAAATAAAAATATAGAAAGTATATGCAACCAGCTGCTTCAAAAAAAATCTAGGTAATGGAAGAAGAAAGAATCACAATTCATTCTTGGAAAACAAATTAGGGTCCAATCGAAGGAATCTAACTACTTCTTTTATACTGATTGGATTTGAACCTCCAATCTCGAGAATATACATTTTAACTAGTTGAGATTTAGTGGAGGGTTGGAGCAAAAGAGATGGATAGTTAGGGTTGAAGATGGGAAGAACAGTAAAAATATATATATAAATATTATACCTGCAAATTAGGCAGATATAGCAGAAGATGTTTGTCTGCAAATTTGATTAGGGAGTTGTACGAGTGTCTGTCCATGGGAGAGTTTTGTGTGAGTGCGCACGCGCGTGACAGACAGATAGAAGGTTTGGATCTTTGATTCTGCGCACATAAATGAAACTTGGGATCAGCTACCAAAAATTCTCAATTACTTTCTTCTGAATTTCATCTGACTTGTTCTAGAAATTCCCTTACTTTTATTTACTCTTCACACATAGAATGACATATAAACAAAAGAAGCAAAGGTTTTGAAGATATTATAATTGAAGAACGCGAAAGATAGCAATGATTATTGATATTGATGTTCTTACTTTGATTTGGTTAAGGAAGATGGCATCATCAAGTTGTTACAACTCTCCATGTGCTGCTTGCAAGTTCTTGAGAAGAAAATGCATGCCAGATTGCATTTTTGCTCCTTATTTCCCACCAGAAGAGCCTCAAAAGTTTGCCAATGTCCACAAGATCTTTGGGGCAAGCAATGTCACAAAGCTGCTCAATGAGCTTCTGCCTCACCAAAGAGAGGATGCAGTGAACTCTCTTGCCTACGAGGCCGAGGCTCGAGTCCGAGACCCGGTCTACGGTTGCATTGGAGCCATCTCCTTCCTCCAAAGGCAAATCCATAGGCTCCAAAAGGAACTCGACGCTGCGAATGTTGACCTAATTCGGTATGCATACAACGAGATCCCTGATGGTGGAGCGAGTCATGTGGTTCAGCCAATCCCCGCCCTACGCCCGAGGGCTTTGGATCAGTATCATACAAGAATTCTTGGGAATGAAGGGTCATCAAGTGGATATTATAATCAACATCCTCCTGCTTTCCCTATGGGCTATCCACTTCCTTGGAATGAAAACTCTTCTGGAAATAACATCAATGAAGGGGGAAGGGATGACAATATTTGAAGATAGCTTTTCCAAAACCTCTCAACCCTTTTAGGGTTGAGTGAAAAACTTCTCTCTTCTCTCGCAAGTCACTTCCTCATATATATATATAATATATATATATATATATATATATGTGATGGGTTTTTCTAGCTAGATGATTTGGTTTCTAAAATCCCAAAATTTGTCCATTTAAAATCCTAAGCAATTTCGTATGAGTTTATGTTTTAAATTATGAGGGCGTAAATAAGGTTGCTTTGCATGAAGCTAGCAACATTAATGTTTATTATCGTGTGAGGTTCATTTTCAAGAGAGCTCTTTTAGCTTATTATTGTATCAATAATTTTGTATTGCCATTGTTTATGCTTAAGAATAAATGAAAAGAAAAGGAAAAAAAAAAAAAACAATATTTTTATCTCATTTTTGTTGAGTGTTCTTAAAAAAGCAGATTCTCTTAGCCTTGTGTATTTATATATTCAATATATATATATATGTGTGCATCTATGTGTAGCTTAGTCGTCCTATTTTTAACCCTATGTAATATTCTCTCCTTCCTTTTCTTTCTACTTTCTTTTGAGAGGACCAGGTAAGCTTTTCTTTTGTAATTGTCAAATGTCAATAACAATTTTAGCTAAATGATAAGGTTTTTAGCTATTTATTTGATTGAGAAAAAGAGGTATAAAGAGAAATGCTTGAAGCAGCCCCAACCTTTGCCACCTAACAAATGAGCCTCTATGTTATGGCAAAGTTTTGAAAACTGGAGGAGGGTTGTGAAAGGAAGGATTTGAAACGAAAAAGAAAAAGAAATTTCCCGTGGATGGGGTTTTCAGTTTCTTTTTATATTTCAATTTCTTCACCTGCCTTTTTACTGTTTTCATCTCCCCATCACAAGTCCCAGACTTTGCAGTAAAAACCCTACACTACTCATATTCACAGTAAAAGTTTCTCTTCCTTCTGTACTCTCTGTTTTGTTCTTTATTATTATGTTTCATCCTCGGGCTGATCAGAGTTTTCTTTTTTGTTTGTGTATTAATGAAACCTTCTTTCTGCATGGGATTCATGAAAGTAATACTGACAAATGAAAACAAATATAATGAATAATAAAAGTACCAAAAAAAAAAAAAAAAAAAAAAAAAAAAAAAAAAAAAAAAAAAAAAAAAAAAAAAAAAAAAACAAAAAAAAAANAAAAAAAAAAAAAAAAAAAAAAAAAAAAAAAAAAAAAAAAAAGGAGGAGCCTTACTGATTCCTCTCTGAATGGCTTTCTGGGTTTCGGAGAAGAGCCCTAATTTGTTCATACTCCATCGTCCGAGATGGTTTCTTCTAAGGAGTATAGTATTTGATTTTGAAGTGAGAAAAGGGCACTGTTTGGGTTCAGAAGTTTGGGGTTTGGGATTTGTGAGTGAAACTGTAGTAATCTTAATAATCTTGTAGTCTGCAGACAGATGGGGAGAGACGTGGTGAAGAAGTAAACAGAAGCTGAAATTTGGCAGAAACTTCATAAGCCTTTCATCATATAAGGACAAATATCACCAGACCCTCCCTTTCCTCCTATTTTTGACCCCACCACAACCATTCTTCTTCATCTTTTTCCCAATATTTTTTTGTTTAAATTTTCCCATTTCCAAATTAGGAAATGTGTAATGGATCGTATTGATTATTAGTAAATGACTAAAAAGAATCAAACTATAACAAAAAAAAAAAAAAAATGGTATTATTAACACTAAACAACTCTTAATTAGAGATTGTGCAAAATATTATACTATCATTTTCAATATTCTTTTATACAAACTAAAAAGATATTGAGCCCAAAGAAGTAGCCATTTTGGGCTAACCATTGGGCCTCTTGTTCCTTCCATCATTAAGGAAAATTGTAATTAAGAGTTCTGTAACAAAATGGCTCACATTTTCCCATATTTATGGGGTTTTAATCAAGATTCCCACTTAATTTTCAAATTTTTTTCAGTTTTAAAATTTGGTGAAATTTTGTTTCACACGTCCAAATCTTCCTACCTTTATCTAACTGCATCTTCTATCATTTATCAACAAAACAAAAGTCATCTAAGTTCACACTTTCTATGGAGAAAGATTATAAATACGAGTATATATGCGACAAGATGAGATGCATAACAATTTTGTCTACATTATTTGTCTAATACTTAACTAACTTCGTAATTACATTTATATTTTATTAGATTAAATCTACAACAATAATATTAAAATTTAAAATTAAACAGCATAGAATTTCACATACTTTTCTCTTTAGAAATGAGGTAAATAGATCATCGACAAAAATGTTGTTTGAAAGTTTTCACTTTTGTCAAATAAAATATGTAATAACTATTGTGTCAGTGTGCATATGAACCATGTTGATATCCATGTATTCCGAGAAAATAATGATTAATATAACGAAGAACCTCTCGCTTTTTTTTTTTTTTTTTAAGAATTTAGCTCATATTATAAATATTAGTATATACAAAGACATAATGTGTAGCTATTTTATCTACATTATTGGTATACATACCTTGATACGATTCAATTAAGATATATATATATATATATATTTAGTTAATCTATTACATCATTCTTCAACCGGATAAGGTTAATCATATTGTTTTATTGTTTAATGATAAATAAAGCGTATAAAACTATTGATTAAAAAGAAAATAACTTTTAGACGCTTCCAAAATGACTATAAAAGATGGTTATTAATTCTCCTTACACCTATAGCAACGGCTCTAGAAGTCAAACTTTTTAAGCAACTTCCAAAAAGTACATCCACCTTAGAAAGGAGCATATAAGCTCTAAAATCTTTCAAATTAAAGGTAGATGAATATTCCTTAGTCATGAACAAGATACTTGTTACTGTCTCAAACATTCACTATTTAATTTAGAAAAATTCCTAATACTATGGTAGACTTTATCCTTTTAAACAACATTGAAGGGTATACTATTTTATTTTTTTAATCTCATACTATATTAATTTTTTTCTAACAAATAATAAATGTAGATAGTTTTTCAAACCGTATAATACTCATGGATTCCATGCGTAATTATTGAACTTAGAAAAAAAGGCAAGTCTCTTAAGTCCTACCAAATTGTGATAAGATTCAACTAACTCTGAAGCTAAGGATAGAGGAGGATACACATAGACCTCTATCTTGATCTCAGGGAAATTTTAGTGATTCACACCCACACAGAAAATATATAACATACACACACAAATATAAATATATATACATATCAAAATCAAATCTCATATACAAAATATTTATTCGTCTTGGAATTTAGTATCACATGGGTGTAAGGCATTAACTAACAAGAACAATTATAATGAACAAGTACCTGTTGTTTGTGCGACGGGGGGCACCATTTACTTTTTCTTTTTGTCACTGTAAGTTGGCCACCACACACAGCCCTCATCGCTACGCCAAAATGAACTAATTAATTACTTTAAGAATTTATGGGTCCGGTTGAAAATTAAGCAATTTTGAAACTAAGAAATTTACTCTTACCAGTTTAAGGCAAACACGTAGCCATCACAGCAGGTCGCCGGAAAGAAGCTCAAAATGCATTCTTGAGTGGAAGTTTGGTTCCATCTCACCATCAGTGCAGTCGTTTTCAGCCAAGGAATCCTATGACAAAATTAAACCTAATCTTTCATGGTTTGTCGGTAACCATTCCAATTCAAATTTGTCGTTATTTAGCCTCCGAAATGTATGCCCATTCTACTCTAAGTTACTGTGTTTAGTATTTACCATTTAACCAATCTATTCTTTTACCAACTCATTCCCATTTGATGCAGAAGTTGGTAACGCAGAATTTTCCAGTCTCTAAAAAGTGTGAGCAAAGGAATGAGAGTTTTTTTTCGGAAGAATCGTCTAAACTAAAAGAAATTCTAGTTATTTCTTTCAAGTTCAATGATACGTTAAAGTGGAGACTCGAATCTTTAATGTTCGAATAGAGCACTTAATAAATTGAATTTTGCTAAAATAAACATGAGAAAAAGTTCAAACGAAGTGTCCATCGGCTATGATATGTGTGGACAAGAGAAACTTACCTGTCATGCAATATGCGTAGAAAGAATTAAAAATAAAAAGAAAAGAAAAAATGTCCAAGTACAACACCACTATTAATACTTTTTCCAAGTTTCAAAGCTTGTAGGCCCTCTTACGAAGTGCCAGAAATCTACCTAAAGTTACCCAATAATATGAGCGTGATTAAGTTTTTTGTAAAACTTTCTCATGTGAGTTAACACATATCAGATTCTTAATTCCAATGGGGTCACAGGTCAAATCTCCCTGTTTTTTCATGTATAAAATCATACAATGACAGCCGTTCACGAGTCTCATAGACATTTCCACTAATCATTAACTCTGAGAGAGCTAGCTAAGTAAGAGCAGGGGATAAGCGTAGCCAATATAGATACCTCAAATGCAGCTCTCTTATGGAAGAGCTTTTGGTCAGAGTTCACATCAAACACATCTTTGTCCCTCAATTTCTTTCTCTAAGACCAGCTTGAAAACTCACTCGGCAACCCAGAAAGGCTGAGGAAGCAAAGGCTTCACTAAGATGGGTGTGTGCTCAAGCAAGGGTGGGAGCAATATTTGTGATGATGATGTTGGAGGATTGAAAGAAAAGATAAGGCTGCTTAGGGAGGAAGTGAGAGGAGTAATGTCTGAGATGGATAAAGAGGTCAAAGCCCATGAAAAGGACATGGTGGTGTTTGCATTTAAGGAAGCAGATTGGAAAACAGAGAAGAAGAAACTCAGAGAGGAGGTGAAGATGCTGAGGAAGAGGGTAAAAGAGAGGATGACAGAGATTGAAGAGGGAAATTTTGGAGAGAAGACTGCAACAGCATGGGAGATTGAAAGAACTCCAAATACCATCTTTGAGCAGGTACAACAGGAAAGAGCACGCAGAGATGAAGCCATTGAGAAATGGAAGCAACTTTATCACGCTATCAAGATTGAGCTCGATGACCTAATTCAGAGAACACATAATGGTATGCCCATTCTAAATTTCCTTTTGTTTCTAAATTTTATAGTCTCTCGTTTTAAGGTGATGATATATGTCTTAACCAATTAAACTAGGTTTGAGTTGAGAATTTAAGGTAAGTCGAGCACATTCGATTTTTGATCGGATCACTAACAGGCACTCAATACTTGCTTTGATAGGAGATGGATTGTACTGGGGAGCGAACGAGAGAACAGAAGCACTACAAACGGAATTGCTAGCAAAGGAGGAGACCATAAAGGCCCTCAAAGAACAAGTGGCTTCAATGGAGCAAGAAAAATACAAGAGAGTCACAGAAATTGACATACTGAGGCAAAGCTTAAGAATTATGACCAGTAAGAAGGAAAAATAGATAGACACCTTCCATAGCTGTGTTTGTAAGTAGCCTGCCAGTGAAGTAAGGAGCACGAAAACAGAAGTTCCAATGAAAAGCCAATTGAAAGTGTTACTAGAAGCAAATGCATCCAGGAAGCTATTAGTTTTGCACCCCCACCCTTAATTTCAACCCAACTGTTACTTTCATAATCATTTCGTTGGGATGGTCCAATAGGTAAACTTTTTTGTTCTATAGACTGCAATGTTGAGAAAGTTCCAAAAAAAAAGAGAAAAAAGGGGCTTATCCTGACAGGAAGAAAAAATGGCGCATCAAATGTTCTCATTGAAATTTAGTGATAGCTTAATTTCTCTCGATTCAAATTTACAATATGATGATAACTATTGGTCAAGTTCTACTCAATATCAACAATCTATCACACATGAAAATCTAACTTATAGAACAATAATGACTATGTACTTGCAAGATCTGAACTAGAAAGGTGAAACTATGGCTCTACCAATATCGTCCACGAATCCATTTTGGTGCCCAACCTTGTAACATATGAATCATATTTCTCTTCGTGCAAAAATTTATGAGGCCAACTTAATTCTTAGGATCAATAGGAGAAATGCTTCAACTTATGCTAATGTCATCTGAATCATATGCACTCTAATCGCTGTTAACATAAATGTTAAAATCCATCCGTAAATAGCATAGCAATAGTTATTTTGGACATCTAGTCTAAACCAAACTCACCTTCGTTTCACCAGATCTGCAAACCAAATCGCTGGAGGAAAATGAAACTACCAAAGCAAGCCCTCGGCCATCGAAGGATGCATCGCGTTCGAAATTGCTTGCGTCGCTGGCTGTATTTTATCGACCATCATGAGAGAAGAAACGTTCTGAAATCGCCAAAATGGATGCCTCGAGTAAGGGTATCGAGGCTTCGCGCCAAAAGTCGTTCAGTTTTGGGTAATTATAATAGATTGTAAACTAGGTTTTATTTGTAAATATGGTAAATCATTTTTTAAAATAAGATTTTGTTATCATTATTTCACCCTTATTTTAAAATGACTGAGTATTCAATCGCCTTCTTTTTCCCTCGAGATTTCTTACCTTAAAAGGTATATATATGACTCTTAGTCTCGTTCATGATTTCTCCACATGAGATCATGAGTGCAAACCTTCAATCCTTCGACCTATATTCAAAATCCAGATGCTACATTTATTGAGTGTACAATCAGAGACTAACCTAAAAATACGCCTACTTGTAGGTTATTTATAGTGTCCATGGTTGAGGTTAAGGTACCACAATCTAGACCTTAACATAGGGCTTAAGTATAGAGTTGGTTCTATAGAATTTGGTCCTAAGGACCTAAGTTTTTGGTCAGTGTGTTACCTAGCCCGGACTTATGATGATCCCTTGTCTTATAATGGGTTTAAGAGAGTGGGCCCCAATGAATTATCCAATTCCTCTCCATACACAAATGCATAGCACTAGTCCTAATTCTAAAACACTATCCTAAAGACCTACTAGGTCACATGGTCGGTAAACGACATAAGCTTAACGAAAAATCTATGTTCACAAGAATTTGGGAGCTAAATTGGCCCACGATTGCTCCAACTTTCCCAGGCGTCCCCCAATTGAGAGTGTGTGTTCCAGAGAGTACCTTGAAGACAGGTTGTCCCACAAGGCATTAAAATAACCGTTGGGCTGTACAGCTTTTGAGGCGACATATCCAATGGCAATGCAGGTTTGTACATGAGCTGGGCTCCAATTACGGGTAGAAACTGGGCCCATCGGAAGGCCCGGAATCTGGGCTATAATGGATTACAGAAAACGTAGGGCAAAGGGATTTGGAGTCCTATATTCAGAAGAATAATTTATTTTAAAAAATAATTATATTAATGAATATTTTAAACCTTGTTAACCCATTTATTGATTCCAACGGCTTCCAACTAACTAGATGAAGTAGTACAAAATAAAATGGAACAATGAGCTGCAAAATAAAAATTAATAATAAATATTGCTCTTTTCCTTTTGAAATTTACATTTTGCAAGCCCAAAACCTTTGTGTGAAGGGATCAGCAGAGTTTCAGAAGTCATGACCTGATCTGCGACAATCTTTGTATGAATAAATCATAGGTTTCTTCACGATCCATCATGCTAATTCGGACGTATTTCGGGCTCACACCGAAATGCTTCCCACCTCGTGTGAGGATCTTATGGCGTCGGAGGAAGCTCTCGCAATCATGGACGTCATCTCCATCGCATTTTAACCACGCGAATGCTGCAGAGCAGAGGACAAACAAAGTCAGTCATCAAAGTTAAAACAACTAAAATGAATGTATCCAATGATATAGTGGATGTTGTTCTTGCCAGGTTGAGATCCCAAGTTGTTGTCAAAGAAGTTGCAATGTGCAGAAGAAAATTCAGGCAAACTAAATATGCCACTACGTTTCACTGCCTCCCTTAGCATCCTCCATCGCTCAGTCATGAGGGCGTGGCTGAAATGGAAGAACGATTCGACATGTTCAGAACCACCGGCCTGTTCGCAACTATCGGACACTACTTCGAGAACTTTAGCAGCTCGAATCTGCGAGTCCTTAGACACACCAATGGTATTCAGCTCAATGAATTTGGTCATTTTCTTAGCAACTTCAACATCCTTCACAAGAGCCCACCCAATGCGCATTCCAGCATGACCAGTAATCTTTGAGACAGTGAAGAGCGTCAAGTCGTTGTCAGCCGGGGACGATATAGGCGTATATTGCGGCCAATAATAAGCAAGGTCATGAACCAATATACCACCAGTTCTATTCACCATGGAATGTCGAACGAAGCCATCAGGATTGTTGGGGGAGGTGACCAATTCAACGTAGGGCTCGTCCTTGTTGAATACCTTCGCATCGCCAGCCCATTTGTGGAGCCCTGACTTGATGCTGTCGGTCATCAAAGGGTAACACTGTATGTATAAATCATGTGATTGGGTTAGGTTTCATTTCAATTATTAAAAAAGAACATTCATAAAAGCTCAATAAAAAAAGCACAGAAAAACAACGTGGAGTTGATTCAGTTCACTTGACAAACTTTAATGGAAGGAACATGTCTTAATTCCACGACATTTCATATAAATACATATAAATTCCTGTTTCTCCGACCTCCCATTCATTAAAGAACATATCAGACAGTGCATGTGGAGTAAAAGAATTCAAAATAAATAAATCGCTGTTGACTTTATAAGATTCTTCTAATTTGTTTAAAAAAAAAAAAAAAAGATCCAAAATACAAAGCAACAAACAGAATCAAACAGAAGCATGTGTCCCATCATAAACTCACCGAGTAGTATGGGGCTGCAGAGACCACGCTGATGGGGTTCGACGCATCTTGCGGGGCCAACGCATAGAGTGCAGCTGAGAAGAGCTGGGACGAGCCCGTCCCGACAACAATGTGTCGACCCTCTGTCAGGGCGTTACCAACCACCTTATGCAGCCTCACAATTTGCTTGGCAAATTCAGGCTCCAAGAACCAACACAGGTTCTTCACATCAGAGAAATAACTCATTGATTGCCATCCAGGGATCACGATTGTGGCCTTGTCCCCCATTTGCTTCCAATATTTCTCATACATTGTCGGGTCACCACTGCATTTAAATCATATTACAATCCGAGTTGCTCAAATCTTGATCAAATCTATTAAATTAAGCTTAAATTTTCAGTTTCTGTACCCTAAAACCTCAGTATGGAAGAGGGAACAAAACAGAGGGTCCGGTCCCGTCCCTACTGGTTCTGCATCACCCGATCAACCATATGATCTCAATGTGGAGAACAAGTGGAGGGAAGTTAAAATCTAGACGGGACCCACAAAGTGGTGGAACAAGATACTAATTTCCAAACATCATCTTTCCTTTTCTTTTTTTTTTTAATTTTCTTTCTTTTTTACAGTGTTTTTAATTATTTATTTTTCTTTTGTAATGGGCGGCCAAAAGTTAAAAGAGAACCACAAAGATGGGGTTTTGGTGTTGCATGCAAGGTTGAATAAGCCACGTGGCTCCCACAAAAAACAAGAATCTTCCTCTTCTTATTCTTCTTATTCTCATTCTCATTCTTGAATGGAGAAAAATAAAAGTTATTTCAGTCCAAAAAAGAACCACCACGATGCCATATTTTGGGGTCAACTTCAAATCTCCACCGTTCATGGTGCATTCTCGAACTTACTAACACAATTATAATAATATTTTCCTCATGTAAAAATTAAAATTTAAAAATCGTAGCACAGCTTACAAAGAGCGAGGAGCTGTCTGTGTCTACGCTAGCAGCAAAACGGCATGGATCAAAGCGGCTTTCAGACAAATCCTAAAACACAGGGCAGCCTCGTTTCCAAGCCAGGGACTTTAAATTGAAACAAGCCTAGCTTTTTTTTTTTTTTTTTTTTTATTTTTTAGAGAACATGTTTTTTTGTACGGTTAAATTAAATATATGTTTTTTTTTTTATTTTCCCAAAATATCACTGACATCCCCAAACAGGTTCGTGGCTTTGACACCCCCAAAGCAAAGTCCACACCTAAAAAGCTGGGAATTACGTGGAAATTACCCCCTTGCCCCTCCCCCCATCAGAAAAAATTTACAGTACGGTGGGGGTTAATTCTTATGCAGGACGATGGTAAAGGTAAAACAGAATCCCATTAGATTTGACACACAGAAGGTAAAAAAGCAGAATAGGAAAATGGATTAAGAGTGAAGCAGAGAGTACTTACTGGTCAAGGTTTATAACTCTTTCTCTTCCATTTTGACCAAGAGGTTGAGTTGCAGGAGCGGCGGCTGTTGGCGATGACAGCAAAGGGAAGGACAAAAATGTCATTTGGGCAGCGTTAATTCCCTTCTGAACTGCCATTGGAGCTCTGTTATCCTGATTTATAGCTCTTAGAATCAAGCTGACGTTCAAAGCCATGGACAGCACGAAGAAATGCTTAAGTGAAATCACTTTGATTACTCTGCCCATTGCTCTCCAAAAAACAGAGTACAGAAGAGAAAAAACAGAGCAAAGAAGATGAAACACTGAACCAAAAAGGGCAAAAAAATAAAATAAAAAAAAAAGAGCAGAAGACGGAGAACAATTCAAGAAAAATAAAGTGGTAATCTCTTGAAAAATTGTAAAATCTTGTAAGGGTTGGGGGAAAAAGGAAGATGATTAGGTGAAATAGAAAGTGGAAATGAGTGAAACAGAGAAGGGGGGGGGGGGAAGTTAAGAAAAAACAAAGATAATTAGAAACAGAGCTGTGTGATTGAAAGAAGAAAGAAGTGATCAAATATTACTGCGTTTTGTCGCCATTTTTGAAGCTTCGAGGGAAGAGAGAAAACAGAGAAGAACAGTTTTCAAAACAGATAGAGGAGGAAGAGGAACAGTCTTGAAAACGCATCCGACAAAAGATTTTTTTCTCAAGAATCAAGAAATCCCACAACGATTTTCAGGGAAAAGTTGCAGACTTTCGATGCTGGATCTTAAAAATCTCTCACACTTTAAAACTATAAGATTCACCGTTCCATCTTCAAATACAAGGGCTCGCATATATATATAATATATATATATATAAAAGCTGCTCTCTCACTGCCACTACATGCTGTGCATTATTTTTTGGGGTTTCCTCTGCTTTCCTCTGTTTCCTTTTTTATTATTATTACTTAATTTTCTTTTTATTTTCTTTCTGGGAATTTATTCTTCCATTTTTTTCGTTCTTTCCTCATGGTTTTACGCATGTATTTTTCAATTGATTTATCTTTCCATTTATTACTTTTTCTCTCACATATATATATATATTGGTTTTTTATTTTTTTGTTGATAAAATATTGACAATTATATTTAAAGATATTTCGTATTCAATTATATTTTATTATATATATTATATTTGATATTCTATTATAGTTAAATAGATAACTTTCATACCATTTCGATAGATTTAGATGTGATTGAACAGTAGTTTTGGTGGCTATTTCACCCCAACCACGTGCCTGTTTCAAAAATTTCCCACAAGAAATGGAAAAAATAAATAAATACTTTCCCTTTCATTTTATGTCTCATTGTGTTATTATATGTTCCATTCTAGTGAATGAAGCTGACATTTTCAATCTAAATCACCTGTCAAGATCCACGGCAGAAGAAAAATATTATATATATTGTTTTTATAATTTCATTAAATATTAAAATTGGTTTCTACTATTAGTTTATTTTTAATTGTTCTTAAAAAATTAGTCTTTATTATCTTTTTGTTAAATATAATATATTATTTATTTAACCAATTTTTAAAAATACCAACAGGGATTACTTGAAAACTTTATTGAAAGTGGTTAAATTTGAGCGTTTGGGAGTAAAATCAAAGTACAATGAAATCCAGAGTATATGAACTACCAAGTTAGAAGATTTGAGGGAAATTACTAATATGCAGGAAAAAAGTAATATTTTGTCAATTAAACTATTTTTTAGATTATTGTTAAAGCATATATATATATATTATTTATTTATTTATTTATTTTGAATTATGACTTCCATAAAATTAAATATAATATAAGAATTATATGATTCTAGCACAGATTGACGTGTGATTTTAATATAATCAACTAATTTTTAATACATAGTATCTAGACAACTATGGTTAATTTAAAATGATTGAAATAAATTTGATTTAAATATGATACAAAAATATAGAGACAAATATATAATCAAATTTTATTTTTTTAAAATATTATGATTATATTACGTGTTATCACCATATTGGTCCATGTGTACCAAAAATAAATAAATTCATGAAAAATGATGTGCATGAAAAAAATTATGCAACTAAATTAAATCTTCCAGATTATTTATAGATATAATTTATTTATTTTTTTCGTATTGTTGAAACAAATAACACGGTAAATAAGAAAACATATATAAAAAGGTAAATTAATGGTCACAAAAAGAAAAAAGCCAGTTAAGTAATGCATTTCACCTAATGTTTCCACTTATAATTGTTATAATAAAATAATAAAAGATGGATTTAAATAATAACCTAATTCAAGTCAAACTAGACACTGAATTTTTAATTGTTACTATCTCTGATATTTCAAAGGTCAAAGAAAAGAATGCCACGTCATCTCCTTCATCAAACGGACACGTAATTATAATTGTTTTTTCTAAGATAGACACGTAATTAATTAAACATTCTTAATTGGACACTAACTAGTGGAATTACTAATGTAATTTGACCCCTTATCCATTGATTACCTTCCAACATGACTGATTAACTGTATTTTACATATTTACCCTTCAATTTAGTTGCTTGTTTATGACCTTAATCTGTAATTTAGCCTCACATCACAAGCAATAGTGTATTATAAACTTCATATTATATGATTAATCATAGAGAGAGAGCGACATCATCATATGATTAATCCTAGAGAGAGAGCGACACCATCATAAGCTTACTTTTGTTCTAACTTTCGTATTGCATCTTTAACACTTTGTTCAATGTTTCGCGTACAAAAAAAAAAAAAAAAGGATTTTTTTTTATTTTTTTATTTTTTTATAGTTAAATGGTAATTATTATTATTAAAAATTATTTTTTTTATCGACACAAACAAAAGTAATATTATTTTTTTAAAATTATTTATTATTGTAGGTAAGATCTCATATCAATTTGACTGAAGAATAAAATATTCCTTACCAATGTAAAATAAAAATAGGTACGTACGATGTTAATGAAAAAAAATATATATACAGTATACTTCTTATTATTCATGATATAATTTTTATTTTTAATTTATTATTTAATTTTATTAAACCTTATGTGATTCTTAAAAGAAGCTATGAAGGCGACACCAATAATAAAAATAGTATCCATATTATTTTTTTCATTAATGTCTCAAAAATAAATAAATATTTAGTCTACCCCTATAATCTACTCCTTTCTTGGTTTTAAATATTTTTTTCTTAATATGGGATGAGATAGTTATTGGTTTGTAGAGTTTTGTAGATATTTAGTTTTACCCCTATAAAGTAGGTTTTTTTTTTTTGGAGTTTACAAAAATTATTTGAGTTATTTATAGACTGCCATCTCGACATATTTTCTTAATAATTAGTCTATTGATACAAATATATACGTTGAGAGGCCTATTACACAAAATTTAGGGTCTTAAAAAAAAACGAAAATATAAGATCCTAGGTTAGTGAAGGCTAAAAAGCTATTGTTTGTTGTCTACCTCTTGAACCTTTATAACTTGGGTTTGATTTTTTCGATGAATTTCGGTGCGTTAACGAAAAGCGGATCGTAGTGTGTGAATGAGAAGGGAAGAAAGAATGGAAAGAGACGGAATAGTCTAACGGTTCCATAAGAGACTCATAAGAAAATAAATAAGAAAAAAAAAAGATATTTTAAAAATATAGTAAGAAATAAAGGGACAAACTTAAAAATGTAACGGTAAATAACTAGACGACAAGGGTGAGAAAGCAAGAAGAGGAGGGTTATTTGAAAAATAAAAATAAAAATAAATTGTGGAAAGTGACGGAACGTGAAAATTCCTTGGAAGGAATTAGAAAGGGGAAGAGGAAGAGATTTGGGTCCACAAAATCAGAAGTGTGAGAAAGAACAAGATCGGGGCTTTTATGTAAAGTAAAGTTTTTTCAGGGACCATTTTTTAAATTTATAATAATTATTATTATTTGGCTGTTTAAATTTTTTTTTTTTTGATTATTATTGAGGTGCTGAGAGGTGAGGTGTGGCAATCTGCTCGGAAAACAAAGCCCATAATAAAGTCCACTTGGTCCAGCCTAAGTTGGTGTATGGTTTTTAAGTGCAGCGCAGGTCACATTCTACCTCTTGCACAAGTGGTCCTTCCTCTCCTCCCTATTCACATTCAAAGCCCAATCAACACTAAACTCGATCATATAATATTCCCTTTCATTTTGATGGAAAGCATTTAGACTTATAGTTTTGCATTTCCAAATTCACCTCATCAATCTCATTTTTTATGACTCCAATTTCATACTAACTTATTTACTAATTTCATATTATCATTCATATGTCTCAATTGAGGCGGAAAATTAAGGGGCAAAATAAACCATAATTTTAATTTTTTGTGGGGGAATATTTGAAAGAATAAATCAAGAGTTGATGGAGGAAATAATTTAATTACTTATTAAATAATATGAGGCCGAAAAATAATTAAAATAAATGGCATAGAATTGTGTGGAATATATCATATTTTGCAATCATAGAAGTTGTGTGTGGTCGCATTCGAAATTTAATAATAATTCATTACGGTGACACGAGCGTGGGGTGAGAAATTCAATGATAAGATATTAATATATGAAAGATATGTGACACTAACCCTTGCTTTGCTTTTTATTTAGGGGAAATATTGAAGTTAAATTATCATTATTTAAGATAAAGTGATTGCAACAACTCGTTTAAATCAATTATTATAGGTCTCCTTTCCTTTCGTTTCATAGATATCTTTTTAGTTTTTATATTTAAATCAATTTATTCAAAAAAATAAAAAAATATCTCCCGTCCAAACCTATTTTTATGAAAATGTGAAAACATACTTTAGTGTAAGGTTCAGTCCCTTAAACTGAACGGGAAGCGTCAATGTTGGCAAAAAAAGGCAAAGCCGAGAAAAAAGTGTATGATACAAGTTTCGATAGTGATCTACTTGTTCTAAATCTCTTATTTAATCTATATTTTAATAGTGAATTATTAAATTTTAAACTATTTAGTAAAATACAATGAAAAATACTCATCTTCAATGATTGAATCCTCAACATCATTTAGGTACAGGGGCACTAAAAAAGAAAATCAAGTACATTACATTTACATAATGAATTTAACTAAAATAAAATCCAAAGTCAATAATATAATGGCCATTTAGAACATTTCCACCTTTTAGGGTTTATCGTGATTATTAGGTAAAACATACAGCCGCCGCCAATCATGATTCACAAATGCTTTTGATCCTCTTAAGGAAACATTTTTTTTATTTGTTTTTATTTTTAAATCTTAGGGAAACAATAATAAAATTAAGGGTGCAGAGAAGTCGTAGTTACCTCAAAAAGACCGTGAAGAGCTCAAGCCCAATGAAGTGTTGGGCTTCTAACGGCCCCTATTTACAGGCCCATACTAGCCATGACACGGCCCAAAACTGGGTTGGATTTTGAACAGTATAAAAAGCGCGGGGATAGAACAAGCCCGCCAAACAGAATGGAGCGCGCGACAGAGTCCGGCTCCGAGGAATTGCAGGACTTGCTCGTTCGTTTGGGATGAGAAGTCTCGGCTACACTTACATTCCAGGTTTCTTTAACTAGTCTCTCATCTATTGATTTTGCTTTGCTGACTTTTCATTGTCAAATCATCGAACGTTTGTACAACAATCTTCTGGAGAAGGAAACTTGCTATTTCTGAAGTTACAGATGATTTGGAAGATAATTGTAAAGATACAGGAACGAAACGAACATTTTAAGACATCTTTATGGAAAATGTTTGATTGAGAAGTAATCTTATTGTTCTACAGCTTGAAATCACAATTAATTCGTAGTAATTTTGTTGTATAATATATAACAATTTAATGTACTACCTAAAAACTTATATCGTATATCGCATTGTTAGATGATAAGTGTACCGGTACCTTCACGCGCTTTCTTCTATCTTCTGTGAAGTTTTTCATACTGTTAGTCTGTTATTTCTTTCTAGAAGGATGTTGCCGAATTTCAACAACTCTGCTTCTAAGTTGCCATTTCAAGTGCATTTTCTACTGCGAATTGTTACTTACTTGCATTACTTCCAACAGCAGTGGATTTTATCACGATCCTGTAGCCGATTGGTACTATAGCAGTCGAGATGGTTCTTATTACAAATTCGAAAACGGAAGCTATGTGCTTCTTCAGTCGAACGAGGTACTGTCACTTGGTTGTTTATATGAGCATACGCCTGTCATAATCACTGTGGTCTTCTTTTGTCTTGATTTGAGATCACTCTAATTAATTTCTTGCTTTTTGGACATTGTAGCAGGTGAAGAATGTAAGATGTGTCGTGATATCCTGTTAAAGGCGAACCATGGAGATACGTGTGTACTACCGGCAGCGAGGATCACTCTTCATTTGAGGCCATTGGACTTGATAGTCTAAATGAAGAGGAACTGATGGAGACGGACTACCATTAGGTTAGTTATCAAAGCACTTTAACACTCTTCAGCCAATTATAATGCAGCTGCTTGTTTTCAATAGATTTCAAGTTTGGTCGTTGACAAAGAGCTGCTAATTATTTTATTGTTCTGGCCAATAGACCTAATTCATATGCCTGGCTTGTTTTGGACCAGTACTGTGTATTCTTTCGATGATTGTTTAGATATTCCTCTTATCTTAATCCAGCCACTGATATTTATAAAATGCTTCCAGAGCCATTAGTTTTTAAATGTGAATATGCTTACTATTTTCGTCAAACTAGATGATTGGATTAGACTTTTCCTTTGTTAGATCCTCGACATATTTTGTATTTAAATTATATGTCAAGGCATGATAGATCTCTTTTTTGACAGCTGAACCAAAATCACTACTGTGCCCCTACTACTTGCCAAGTTTAACCTATCTCAAACGGAAGATATTTCTAAGCTTCTAAAACTCCACTGCCATTTTCTGCAACACCGTTGATGTTGTTGCTTCCATGACTATGCTTACTTGCAAAAAATTTGTGTAGTCGGCTGTGAATTCACATTTGACGACTCTCACTGAATGACGAAGGATAGTTATATGACATATGCTAAGGAAGCTTTATTTTTTCATCAGCGCTTGATGCGGCCAATGTTGTCTTTTGTATTTAACTGACGAATATGTCCCATTTATTTTAACCGGAGAAACTGAGGTTGGCATTACTGTTCTTGAGCATAAGAATCATCCCACATCTTCAACGACTTATGATGCTAAAAACTGTCTGTCATCAAGTGTTTGTGTGCATTTTTATTATTATGATGAAACCAGAATGAGTTTTGCTGTAGTTCAGGCTATGGCGATACATAGAGGATAGAGGTGAATGTTACTACGATTAAAATCCTGCAATCATGAATTCTGGTCGAAGAGTGTTATGTGGAGGTAATGTGACTTCACTAGTTGAGAAAGTAATTTAATTACTATTGTGCAACTAATGACTTTGGCTGTGGTTCAGAGGTGAATGGCTTCGAGACAAAAATCATACTATATTGAATCCAGGCGAAAGTGTGTTTTATGGAGGTAGTGTAACTCTACTAATTTGCAACCTAGCCTCAAGTTTGGGTTCTGTTGCATGCAATATTTTCGTTCTGTTGTGTCTTATATTAAAAGAAATTGGCACGTTTGATCAACTTTTAAATGTTACAGTCATTTACAAGTCTAGAATTCTTTTATAAAGTGTGAAGTAATTTGTAGTTCATTTACTTACTTGTACATTTTGAAATTAGAAAATATCAGCAACAACGTTATTAGATATATAGAAATATGCATAAATGATTCCTTTTACTATCAGCATCATACCTTTGATTTAATTAGTAACATTTTAAGCTAGTTAACAATTTTTAATATCAACATATTGTTTGTTCTTTTTCATTGTAGTATTAGTTAAAAAAGTTTACGCCATGAATGATATATTTTCAATTATCATTCATTACACAATTAACTTTATTTTTATTAGTCACACTAAGAAATACTGGTTAAAAAGTCTAGAATAATACAAATGGGGTTTTGTACTTTTATTATAACGATAATATATGTAATATGATTATTTGCTTGCTTTGTTTTTATTTTTTGAAGTTGTTTTCTATAGTTGAAGATATTAAAACACTTTTCAATACCTCAAATATCATTTCTTAGTTTCACTCAATTTTAAATTGTGTGATAAGAAAATCAATTTTATATTTAGAATGTTGTTTTATCCCATGTATTAATTCGTTACAAATGACATTTGACAAGGAAAATTAAGGTGATATACCTATATATAGATTTGTTAGAAGTATGAGGACATTTTTATCTAAATCATAGTTCTACTCTACTGAGACTTTGGTATAACTTAGATGTATCTATTTATTACTAGTAATATTTAACATTTAGTACTGAAATTAATATATTTACATTAGTTTAGAGATTTTCTAAAATTAGGCATGACTATTCACAAAATGTTTTTTTTTCACTAGCCATATATATTATGGATATACACATCTCATTATTCTATCACCAATTATCATGCTTCTGAAATCTAGCTACCTGTTGATTGTACTTGAGCAAAAATAATGACCATTATACACGATTAATTATTGCTTCTTTACTACAGTCTACTCTATTGTCATATATGTAATCTCTTGCAAGACTTATAGAGAAATTAAAAGATGTTTGGATCTATAATGTACTATATCGAATATCTCATCCATGTTAAAAGGTTTTCTTTGGCTTCTTTTGAAGGTGTTTCGATGGATGAAATAACTGGAAAGCCCCGTATGGTGAAGTCGCACATTATGGTAAAGAAACAATTCCCAAACTCTCTGTTATGGACATCTGGGACTGGTCGACAGTCTCAGAGTCCAGAACAGGGGAAAAGGGCAAAGCTACGAGGTTGGTTGAAAAACTGGTGAGAAAGTCTGCAAAGCTTCATCTTTCGGTTTCTCCAATGTTGCTCTTCTTAAAACAGCTCCAATATGTGAATTACATTTAGATTTGGTACAAGTTGCAACAGGTGATTTCTAAATTCTGGGTCATTCTCTACCAGTTTTTCTTTTTCTTACCATATTACGACCACCCAAAATGTACTTTCAGGGAAAATCTACAACCTACAAAGTCCTAGTAAGAGGTAGTTGGGCTCCATGTAAGAAAAAGACTGGAGTTTCCCTGATTTAATAGATGGCCAATTGATCTTTGCTAATAACGAGGCAAAATGTGCGCTGCATCTACGTTGGTAGATAGTCTCTCTGCGTCTGCAAAGGTAAACTTTATACTACAGATCAAATCAATATCGCTACGACTCTGTTTGACAAGTTTTCGACAAGTTTTGTTATGAGTCGGCTGAGCATGACCAAAACTTATGTACAGTAAGTTAAAAGCAAATAAATTAGCCGAGAGAAGAATACTTCACGGTGGTTTAGGGGTGGGTCTTGGACCGAAGAATTCATCGCGGTGATAAAACATCGCCACCCCCTTCTGGCTATTCCGAGAGCACTGCAGCTGAAACCTTGAATATTTCATTTGGCGCTGGTAGTTACGCACGACAAATCTTAAAATGCTTGCGGTGGAAAGAGGTTTGTTAAATCTATCCTTGACACTTCAACGAAGTGGTTCATATGATTTCCAAAATTTAAGTTCCTATTTAATAATGATTTTATTAGTAGTTTACTGCTTTGAAAATTTAATTTTTCTTTTTAATATTTCTTCACCGTAGTTTGATCAAAATTTTATTTCTAGTTTTATTTTTTGAAAATTGTATTTATTTGATTACTAGTTCTTCACTATCGTTTTCATTTTCTTTTAGAACTATTAGAATTCTTAGTCAATTTTTTTTTTTTTTTAAAAAAGCTTTTATATTTTTTATCTCAGAATTTTGACTTGAATTTTTAAATATAAGTTATATTTTTTAGTTCAGAAAAGGGTTATCATTACTACAAATTACATCATGACAAAAAAACAATGGTAAAAATTAAAACATGCAATATTTTTCATATTTCTCTTATGGAATGTAACGATATTCATAGGCTAGAAACGAAATATTAGAATGTGCGAAATTAAACGTAATATACAGGTACAAAATTTAGAAAATCTATTTTATCTCAGCTTTCAGCATCGCCGGAAATAACCACCTCATCTTTGGGTGGCTTCTCGGCAGGGGGTGAATCAACTTTATTCTCGACCGTTGGACTCTTCGACTGCTGTAAAGCTTCCTTGAAGCTTTGAAGCTCCCGATCCTTCTCTGCAAGCTTCTCTTGCAACACGATAGCCTAATTCATTGAATACGAAAAAAGAAACTGATAAATATAGAAATTGATTCAGAAAGTGACCAAAAAATATAACACGGATGATGAGCGTACCAATTCGTTTGACCTTTCAACGTCATTTGTCAGCCCCTCCATATGTTTCTGTAAGGCTGCATAGATTTGGGGTGTTAACATTAGTTTAGCAGTCAATATATATCACCGTCCAGTCATTTTTAGTGTTCTTTTAAAAATCTTGTGCTTGATAGATAACAAATTAAACATCGTTCAACCAGCTTGATTTATGATCATTTTTAAATAGTTACTTTAAAGTCGGATTATGAAAAGAAAGCGACTCTAAACGAAAATTAAAGTGCTTAATAATTATTCATAAAAAAATCGCAATAACTTGAAGCATGCAAACTGTTCCAAATCTGAACTTCAGAAAGTCGTGCAACAAAAATGAGTATTTAATGATAGATACTGGACCTTCGTAATGATTTCTAAGTTCCGTATTTTGAGATTTCTGCACCGCAAGCTTTATTCCTAACTCATGCATCTGCAGGCGAGGGCGAGGCGAATGATTGCACAAACAAATGAAGTAAAATTATGACATGATACCGGGGGCACAATTTATCTTTCAAAACTCACCCTCCTAAAAAAAAAACTCCATAAAAGAGGTGAATGAACATAGAGTAAGTCACAACACGACGTAAATTAGGGACTATACCTTTCCTTCAGCAGCTTGATTTCCTATCTCTTCATTTTCCTCTTGCAGAGTCCTACATTTAGCCATCAGCATTTTACCCATCTTGCTTGATGGAGTAAAACTTACTGCGGCAATGTTATCTTGCAGCTCCTTAACCTTTTTGTCTTTCTCCTCAACCAAACTCTGCATGTCATGACAAAGTCAAATAATTAATACTCAATTCACTAATCTTGATTACGAGTTAATGCTGTTATCATATAATTCAAATATAATATTTCACTCACAAAGATGGCTCCTTGCAACTTCGGCTTTACTGTTTCACTTTTTTCCAATTGGTCAAAAACTACTTTTCAAAACAGTTCTGACAAACCCCCCCGACTATCCCCTTATAATTCACTCACAAAGTAACCCCCTCTCAAAAAGTTTGTGGGACCGCCTAAGATCTTTTAGCATCCACCCTCCATTAAGTTTAACCATGAACGGAACATGAAGAAAAGATGGATAAATGACAAATGCCAAGATCTGGTCAAATTCCTATTCTAATTAAGCTTTTAAAATATCTAGCTTGAATGAAAAGATGCGTACAAAGCAAGAGGTATCAACCATACATATCAAGATTGGTAGTTCATGTAAAACAGACCTTCAGACGAGTAAACTCTTCATGTATTGCAGGATCTATCAATAATCTTCTAGCCTGTTAAAGTTAGTTGCAAGCAAGCAAGTTAAACCTGGAGACATAAGTGATTTCCAAACGAGAAGACAAAAGGTCTACATCTACAAACACAACGAAGTACTGAAGTAGGAGTTTTCTATAACTGACATTACACATCACAACTAGCACATTTGCAATTTATCCTAAATGAAACGAAAATAGATAACAATTGGCCCACCTCCACCTCTAATAATTTTCAGAGAGGCCTTGACCCAAGGTCAGCAGATAACAAAGATTTTCAATAATAGGGTTTTACGCCCAGAGGATTGAATTTAGGACCTCGGAAAGAATATCTAAACATACGAAGACCTTCGAACTAGGGTCACCTTGGGATTGTCAAAATGGTTAGTCACCTTTCTCCTCACAATCAACTCTAGCATATACAAGCAACTCAATATCTTGCTTCGAACATTATTCATATAAGGAAAAACTGAAAGGAAAAAACAGATTAGAAATGTTTATAAAAGTACATGAAAAGTCAAAAAGTTGTGCTACGTTGTTCTCAATATCCAATCTTAGAACTATGCACTTCTACCAAACCGAAATTAAAGCGTCATTAGTACCTGCATGGATGGTGGCTTCAACTGTGCTTTCAAGTCCCGGACTGCAGCCTGGATATTTTAACAATATTATAGATGCCTGATCTTGAAAGTACTCAGAATAATCAAAATTGTAACAGCAAATGAAGAGTTTCATAAATCAATCCGAAAGGAATTGTGAAACAAAATGCAAGCAGTAGAGTAATAACGATGAAAACATCTCCATTTCATACATCACAAAAAGCATATCAGAATTGTAAGCATCTCGGACGAAGCCATATTAGCAATTACAGACTTGGCAGTTCTGTTTTTGACTAAACCTAGCGTCTTGTCTTGAATATGGATTAGGAAGCTTCAAGGTATCATGTTCAACTGCCTTTTACTTCGCGCAAAACTTTCACACAAAACTAAGGTTCCAAGTTCAAATTATTAACAGCCCTATACCACCAAGGTTGATTAAGTCCTATAGGTTAATAAGTGCTGAAAATCATGCACGACAGATGAAAGATATTCCATTTTCATCATCCAAAATCTTCACGTATTTCAAATTGGAAACAAATAAAATTTTCTGCCTCGAGTCTAAAAGGAAAAAGATGCAGAACTTGCCTTCAACTCTGCAATCTCCTGCTCTCGTTTAGCAAATGTAACAATAAAAGCTGCTTCCTTCTTCTTTGCCTTTTCTAGCTGAAAGATGAAACACATTTTACATTTTGCATGAAAAAAATATCAGATTCCTGACTGAATCTACAAAACCAAACATTAAAAAAAAATTGGCAAACCTGGTCTCTTAGAGACTCCTCCGAGAACTTCAGGGATTGCAGAAAGCTGATCACAAATTTAGGTTCTGCATCGAAAGATCAATTGTTTTAAGAATGAGCAGGTCATAGAGGATGAACAAAAACGAGCATATCTCAGAGTTCAACAAACCAGGGGAAGCACCAGCAGGAATGAAATTTTCATTCTGAAATGAAGTAATCCACTTCTGAATCTCAGACTTGGCAATTTCAAGCTCTGTCTGAAACCAAGGTAAATCCAACAAGTAATTAAGCATCGCATATGAGCATCCTTGCATAATGCTTCAGTAAAAAGTAGTAGCTATCCAAACTCAAAGGTAGAAGAATATGGTAGTAGACAACAGATCATAGCGATTTCAAAAAAATGTGAAACTAGACAATGATACCAGCTTTAACTCCAGAGTCTCGACTGAGGATTAATAGATTACTACATAAACACGTTTTTTTCAGCTCGAATAAAATGTTAATGGATTGCAAGCCTCAAACATATCAAGTTTACAATTCTAGTTGATTATGACATTAGATTCAAGTAGGATTTTGGTTGTTATTTCTGATTCCTATAGAATTAATGTAGACTAGATCTCTCTACAAAATCTTAAACTATTAAACCATGTTAGGTTATGTTTTTCGTTAAGTTTTGAAACACAAAAGAGCTAAATATTAGATTCACAAGGTGCCGTATATCAGGAACCAAAAGACAAAATAACAGAATTTCTAATGTTGGAAAGAAGGCATCTAATACAAAGATTCATCGGACAGATGGATCTCCAAGCAAAACTAAGCCGAGAACTGAACAAACGCAACGAATAGACAGGCAATGAAGAATGAAGACGTGGAGATATGATGAAATAACTAAAACCATACCCGGCATGTTGTGAGTGTGTCCTCATAGCTTTTAAGACTGCACACGAGGTTTCAGAATATATAAATATACAAGGAACTTGAAGGATCGCTTCCTTTGAACAGTGCACGATATAGATATTCCGTAACATTTACCAATCACCGAAAATGATTCAATACCTCTCACGAAGTGACAGAATCATTCCTGTCGCTACACCTGGAGCAGTTTCTTCGACTTTAGCGTTAGCCTACATTGAAGCAATTAGATTTAGCCGCAAGTTAACATCATAATGAACAACATAATAAGTAAAAATCGAAGTAGTAACTTAAGGTCAAATAAAAAACTAGAGAATCAGGTCGTATACCTTTTTGGAACCAAATAAGTCATCCTCTTCATCTTCGAGATCGCCAAAACCTCTCTTATTTCCTAAATTTTCATGAACATAGCACAAAATAAACATCAGTGAACAAATGCCAATCACACACCAGCGATTTGATGCAAAGAATGCGAAATCAACCTGAATGCCTATTGTTGTGCGTTCCAGTGAAGTCGCCTCCAAAATCATCATCCTGAAAGAATTAAGAAATCAGAGAGAAACTCCATGGAACAAACACCTAAAACTCGCGTGAAAAGCAAATCGAGCGGTGAAAATAAAACGGAGGAACTTACCTCCTCAAGATGACCGTGCGACGCCATTATAGCAAATTGCGCTTCTCACCAGAGAACTGCAACGCGCGAGACCACTATGACAATAGCGAGGGAAGCTAGCAGAGAGAAATAAATCCAAAAGGATGGACGATATCACGTTTTATGAATCGTTCCGCTTCGCAGCGAGGGACGGATTCCTTAGATTTAATTCTATTTCCCTCCTTTTATCCAAAGGCAGAGTAACAGTCCACAATTAGGCCCATAATTTAGAAGCCCAGTCTAGTAAGTCCACCGGCCCATTATATAATACCATATGCCCAGTTTAGTAATTCCTTCGTTCTTCTTCTATTTCCCTCCTTTTATCCAAAGGCCGAGTAACAGTCAAAAGTTAGGCCCATAATTTAGAAGCCCAGTTTAGTAAGTCCACCGGCCCATTTTAATATAAAAGGCCATAAGCCCACTTTAGTAATTCCTTCGTTCTTCTTCTATTTCCCTCCTTTTATCCAAAGGCCGAGTAACAGTCCAAAGTTAGGCCCATAATTTAGAAGCCCAGTTCAGTAAGTCCACCGGCCCATTTTAATATAAAAGGCCATAAGCCCACTTTAGTAATTCCTTCGTTCTTCTATTCCCCTCCTTTTATCCCACTTCATACATATTTTTAACATTTTTAAGAATTTCAATATAAAACATTTAGCTTGATTACACGAAAATTATCTGCAATGAGAGCAATACCGCACCGTCAAGCTTTTACAAGTGATAAATTAGCAACTGCACAATCTTTCATGTAAGTTCGAATATAATTATGAAAACTAAGATGTAGAGCAGATGGGTACAACTAATAAAATCATAATCGTGTAAAATAATGCACATAAAAGCAAATCAGACACAACGGGCATACAACAGGTCATATGATTATGTCTTCTTCAACTTCAATTTTCAAATATGGAGCCTTCACACACTTCACAGTAGTCAGAGAAGTTCTGGCAGATGTTGAGATCAGTACGCCATAATAAAATGTCAATTGCAAGGCATTCCATGTCATGAAGAAGGGCTATGCCCGTCAATCTAATGCATATTCAATCATTAGTAGCCTCCAACCTTATTTCCTCACCTGCCATACGTGATGCATTTGGTTAGGAATTCTCTCTTACATAACATTAATTGTGGTGCGGCGCATAAAATAAACCAAAACAGTAAACAACTTGTTATGTATAGAAGTTAATAGTGTTATCTCAATATCATAAACCAGAGAATACGAAACGTATGCAGCAGACACCAAAAATTAACCTTGAATACCTGAAAACGAGGAGATCGACGCAAAGAAAAGGCAGATCCAGGGGATTGGATACCTGGTTTATTTCCAGGTAAAAATTTCTTAGAACGATTGTTAGTTTCCTCAGGTTGAACATGGTTATCAATTTCTTGAGTTGAAGATTCACTTCCGTCAGTTGATGATGACAAACCAGGAGCTGACAAAGATATCATCGTTGAGTCTTGATGCAGAGACAATGCTTCGGCTCCAACTCCTTTTGAATGAGAAAAATATGGCAAACAATTAGTGCAGAACAGATTGAACCCAACAAACTTCAAGAGGCACAACAAAAAGTGATCCGGGTCGTATGTATATTAACTACCAATGATTTTTCTGTGCAGTGAATAGCACCTTTCAAGCAGTAAGTTACAAATTCAGTGCGTACCTTCTGCTGCAGCCTCTTGGAACCTCCGTCTCATGACCTTAACGAACTTGAATAAACCATTTGTTTCATTCAATTCATGAATCAATCCTTTAATATCTCGCAAGGATGGGGTACAATCTAACACTGAAAGTTAAGAAAGAAAAAACTAGGGGTGTCGGAACTCAAAAGACAATGAGCATGACAAAACAACGTATTTTAAGTGCACAAAACTTACATGTATAAGTATCATTTGCATGACGAATGGTAAAAGAATATTCTTTATCAGGATTGTCCTTAATGATTTTCTTGAAAGAAAATGTTACCCCTGAAAGATCGAAAAAAATTGTCAAAAACTTAAATTTCAAGCTTTCATTCACTAAAAATGTAAAGATTCTTGAAGGAAAGAAAATTGAATTATCATACCATGTCCTCCTTCAATATGAAAACCCAAAACTCTATTGTACCAAGAAATAGCCTCTTGTAAATCACTTCTGCAATCGCTTTCTTGGGTTTCCTTGTGTTCAGAAGAAGATAAAGCTTTGATGGCATTGAAGAGAGAGGGAGAAGCAATTAGTTTTTGCATGAAAATATTGAATTTGGAGATTTCAAGGATGTGAAATAAGAACTTACAGTTACGTAGTAAATAAAGAATGCAGTATGCATTACTGTTGAATTCCAAGCAAGACATTTTTTTATTACAGGCAGCAAGGTGCATGAAATTATTTTCTACTCAACTTACTTAAGAAATAAACAATGCAGAGAAAAAGCATAACCAAGTTGCTGAATTCATCTTGGAGGAACCATGTGAAATTTGCACAAAGATTGGATTTAAGGGCTAGCAAAAACAGACCTAAGAGTGAGCATTCGAAAATAAATTAAGCTCACAAACATAGTTTACCCAAGGATTGCTGAGATATAATGTTAGAATATTTATCCCTCTTCGCTTTACAATCTTGTAAAGTATTCCTGAGCTTCTCGATTCTAGATCTTGAAGCTGCAAGGGAGTCTGTGATTGCCAGCCGTTTGGCCTCTTTGCGAGTCTTCACTACAAAAAATATGCAAGTATAAAGGTAATCAAGCCTTTACTGTGTGTGCTAATTTCAAAGTAAGAAATGATACCAGCATCACAAACACCAACGTTTCACCCATCACTCGCTCCAAATCCATTAAACAGTTCCAGTTGACAAATAATTGAATTATTAATGCTGCTTCAAGTCGATACCAATCTTCATCTAAGTAGTACAATCTACATCATGCAGCGTTAAATGAAAGTAGCATAGTCTAATTCATACCTGCTAGAGCTTTAACCAATTCATCTTCCGCCTCCCTCAGCCTCGCCTTTAGTTCTCCCAGTTTCACTGAGAATTCAAAAACTTAAAGATCAAACAAGAAATTTCAGAGTAAGTATTCGGGCTGTAGAATTACATTCATTTTGAGTCTTAAACGCTATCCCATTCCAAAGCCCTAATGATGACTTCACAAACACTTGTACTACCGACTAAATTGTTCCACTGGTCGCAGTGAAACGATTTCACACCAAATTCTAACAAATTCAATTGAATAGAATGGATGGCTCACCTTGACTTAGGGCATTCTCTTGCGACTTTGCAGAGATCGATTCCAGAGACTTGCGAAATGAATCGGCGAAGGACTCCATCTTTTCCAGCTGGAATGGAATTTCCTTTTCACGAACCATTCGAAGGGACTCCATCTTCGCACGAATTGAATCTTCCACCTTGTTCTCCATTCTTTTACAGAGAAGAAGAGTTACTGTACACACTCTTCGCCTTCGCCCGCCAAATTTGCTTCGAAGTTCAAATTCTTTTCATGAGAACCTCGACGACGATGATGGGTGTAAATGGGCTACGAAATGAATGTCCGAACATCTATAAGCTTGTCCAGTTGGACCCTCGGTTTAGTGTAGCCCATAACAACTTTGGGCCGAAATTTCGGCCCTTTTCTGTTGTTCTATGAGCCCATAATTTTTATGATAGATAATTTTTACTTTCCAATATAATTTATTAAAAAAATGTAATATATATATATATATATAATGAGAAGGGTGGGGACATCATACAAATCATTAAAATGAACAAATCAAAACAAAATAATAAAAAGCTTTTAAAAGTAAGAAGCAAAAATTGACCCAATTATGTGACGTATAATGAAGAATAAAATAACTTAATTATTAATTATTGAAACAAAAAACTTTCACTTCGAATATTGATTAAGTGACAAAATAATTAATAAGAACATTATAAAAACTTTCCATATCAACTTAGGAAGGGACATCTTCCGAATTTCGAGGCTTGTTGTGGAGCTAAAATGGGACATCCATTCTTTATTTTATCACTCTCACATTTCCTCAATTATTCTCCACACAACCAGTCTAATTGCACAATTTTTATTACCCAATATATATATATATATATATATATATATATAAGATTTCAAGTTCATATATGAGATGGTTTAATATTCATCTCATAACCTCCTTTTACATGTTTAAGGTAAAATTATTGGTTAATAACATGTAATGAACAAATTGAATAAAAAAGTAATAAAAATGAAAATAAAATCCACGTCAGGATCACGAGACAAGCACAAGGACGGATGGCTTCCTTCTAATTTAAACCCCTAAAATCTAAATCATGATTCCAAATTTTGGATCGGATTGGATTGGCCTCTCTTCTTTATTTTATCTACAAATCACATGGCTTCTTCAAATTTTCTACTAAAGAATCAAATTTTCACCTCATCATTTTGTCAAAAGTAAATAAATAAATAAAACAGAGTAATGCAGCAGATCCACACCCATCTGCATCCGTTTTTTTTTTTTTAACTTTCTATTATATATTATACACCTCTATGCCATAAACTCACAAACATCAAACAAAGTAGATGTATAAATTTAACAATAAAAAATACAATACGCTGAAATAATTGCATTGAATCTTTATCGAAAAAACAAGCCACAAAGAAGAAGAAGAAGAGCAATATATATATTAACACACAGATGTTTTGGGAACTAGAGAAGAAGGCTCTGAAATAAAGTTGGGAAATGATGGTTTAATGGGTGCCCTGAAAGCAATGCAGCTCATTTCTCCAGGTTAACAAAACCCCTACTTTTCTTTCAATTTCAACCCACTCACCAGAATAACTGCGTCTAAAAGCTTCTTGTAATTCGTGCCCTTCCTCTTTTTTTAAAGCTAAAATTTGAACTAAAATACGGTTTTCCTTTTCCACCTTCCCCCCACCTCTCCCCCGCTTGTGAATAAAAAATTTCAAAGGAAACGCCAACCAAATATGCCATCTCCCTCTGCAATAGACCATCATGGCCTAGCTGTTCTTCTTGGATCCCAGAATTTCCGGCCATTTTTTCTTTTGTTTATTATAGACTCCTGATTTAAACACGTCGTAGACCGCAACACATGATTTGGCTTCTCTTGTTTTTGGCACTCCCTAGGCTCAAACCCTCTCTCTCTCTCTCTCTCCCTCCTTGGAGTTTGTAGTTTAGTTG